TTCGTGAGACCGATAATGAAGTCGATTCAATGAGATCGATCGTGACATCGATCGTTAAATCGCCCGTGCGATCCATAGTGAAATCGATTGAGAGATCGATAGTGAGATCGATTGTGAAGTCGATATCGAGATCGATAGAGAAGTGGGTAATGATATCGATGGTGAGACCGATCGATCAAAAAATCTACCACGACCAGGGAACCCAGGAACCCCGCCGCCCACCGAAATCGGCCCGGAACCCGGAACCAAAAACCCGTGAACCCGGAACCGGGAAACCGGGAACCAGGGAGCCCAGCCGCCTACCGAAATCGGCCGCCAAGTTTCGCCAAATCCTTTCTGATCCGCTAGGACCCCTTCAGTGCAAACACTGCTTGGGGATTTCTTGACGCGTCGCGTATCCCCACCAGTAATTATCTTCGTACCGCGCCCCGGACGTTGTGCCCGCTCCATGTCCCTCGCCTTGGAGCCGCGAACCAAAAAGTATCCCCACCAGTTCCCGCCCCGGACATTGCCTCTCGCCGCCAGACCTTCGTCGCGCGGCCGCCGACCAACAAAGTATCCCCACCAGCGTGTGGCCGATCCGTTCAGGACTTCGGTGTCGATCCCTTCCACCATTTTCCTGGCTGGCTCTTCCTCTCGTTTTCGGAGAGGGGATTGCCCCGGATCTTTTCTCTCAGGAGTGAGTGTGTGACTTCGGTGGCGCCGCTCGTACTGGCTCCTGGTCACTGACGTATTCCTGGCCATCGGTGTTAGCATTACCTCCTGGAGTGTTTTGCAAGCGAGCTGCCCCCTTCAGGGGCTGGGTGCATGGATGTCTCGTGTGGTTTATACTACTTTTTGTCCTCGCCCTCAGCGGTCACACCCACCCAGTACAGCGCTTCGTAGCTCCATAGGGAGCTCCGCCGAAGGCCCCAGTGCTGCCGCCCGCATGCGTCACGCACACCCAATTCGGCACACCCCTCACACGGTTCGTGGCCCCATAGGAGCTCCGCCGAAGGCCCCAGTGCTGCCGCCCGCATGCGTCACGCACACCCAATTCGGCACACCACTAACACGTTTCGTGGCCCTATAGGGAGCTCCGCCGAAGGCCCCAGTGCTGCCGCCCGCATGCGTCACGCACACCCAATTCGCACCCCTCACACGTTTCGTGGCCCCATAGGGAGCTCCGCCCCAATCCGCAGTGCTGCCGCTGCACACGCACACCAATTCGGCACACCCCTCACACGCTTCGTGGCCCCATAGGGAGCTCCGCCGAAGGCCCCAGTGCTGCCGCCCGCATGCGTCACGCACACCCAATTCGGCACACCCCTCACACGTTTCGTGGCCCCATAGGGAGCTCCGCCGAAGGCCCCAGTGCTGCCGCCCGCATGCGTCACGCACACCCAATTCGGCACACCCCTCACACGTTTCGTGGCCCCATAGGGAGCTCCGCCGAAGGCCCCAGTGCTGCCGCCCGCATGCGTCACGCACACCCAATTCGGCACACCCCTCACACGTTTCGTGGCCCCATAGGGAGCTCCGCCGAAGGCCCCAGTGCTGCCGCCCGCATGCGTCACGCACACCCATTTCGGCACACCCCTCACACGTTTCGTGGCCCCATAGGGAGCTCCGCCGAAGGCCCCAGTGCTGCCGCCCGCATGCGTCACGCACACCCAATTCGGCACACCCCTCACACGTTTCGTGGCCCCATAGGGAGCTCCACCGAAGGGCCCGCACCAGCAATGTCGACTTCATGCGTCGTGCCCCATAGGGAGCTCCACCGAAGGCCCCAGTGCTGCCGCCCGCATGCGTCCGCACACCCAATTCGGCACACCCCTCACACGTTTCGTGGCCCCATAGGGAGCTCCACCGAAGGCCCAGTGGGTGTGCCCGCATGCGTCCCGCACACCCATTTCGGCACACCCCTCACACGTTTCGTGACCCCTCACACGTTTCGTGGTCCCATAGGGAGCTCCACCGAAGGCCTCAGTGGGTGTGCCCGCATGCGTCCCGCACACCCAATTCGGCACACCCCTCGCACGTTTCGTGGCCCCGTAGGGGGCTCCACCGCGTCCCGCACACCCATTTCGGCACACACACACACACACATCACACGTTTCGTGGCCCCATGGGGAGCTCCACCGAAGGTCCCAGTGGGTGTGCCCGCGTGCGTCCCGCACGCCCATTTCGGCACACCCCTCACACGCTTCGTGGCCCCATAGGGAGCGCCACCGAAGAAGATATTCACAATTGCGGTACTCACAATTGCATATGGTTGGGTCCTTCGCCAGGATAATTTATACTACTTTTTGTCCTCGCCCTCAGCGGTCACTTGTCAGCTTCGCTGTCTGTGACCCTGCCGCGCCATTTTGGCTGCGTATAGCTCCTTGGTTCAATTCGTGCATCGGCACTGCCCCCCGATCCTGGTCTTCGTTGCAGTTTGCACCGCCCGCCGGCAGGCTTCGGGTTCTGCCCCGCTTCCTGGCACCACCTCGCGCCGACCAGCAGCTTAGGCAGCTTAGGTTCGGCCGTCGGTCCCCGTGCGCTAGGCAATTAGGCTCGCGCGTAGCCCGCCCGACCTCACGCTCGCCTGCGGCCGCGACGAAAAAGTATCCCCACCAGCCCATCCAGAAACGGTACCCATGAGAACCGACGGGGGGATAGAGGAAGAGACACGCATAATCAAACAGCGAGGGAAGCCGGCGTGGACGGCGCGTTGGGGCCATCTCCGGGCTCGCGCGGGGGGTGGGGGGGGGCGAAGAGGAGGAGGAGGAGGAGCAGGAGGAGGAGCAGGATGAGGAGGAGGAGGGGGAGGAGGGAGGAGGCAAGAGGAGCAAGACGAGGAAAAGGAGGACGAGGATGAGGAGGACGAGGACAAAGAGAGTCAGGAGGAGGAGGGGGAGGAGGAGGAGGAGGCACCTTGAGGCCTCGGAAGGTCATCGAAAGCAAAAAGAAAAAGGCGAGAAAACTATATTCATGGTTTTTCTTCCGGTTTCATCTGAAGCCGTCTAGGAGCGGTCTTGGGGCCTCTTGGGGCATCTTGGGACCATCTTGAGCCAGCTTGGACTATCTTGAACCATCTTGGAGGTCATCTTGGGGACCACTCGGGGGCCTCTTGGCGGCGTCGGGGGCCTCTTGGAGCCCTCTTGGGGCCTCTTGGGGCGCTCGTGGGACCCTCTTGGGGGCCTCTTGGGGCCATCTCGGAGGCGGTCGGTCAAAATAGCAGGGGTATTCGATGTTCGTCGCCCCCTCGGGGGCCACGATCCTCGTGAGGGGTGTCTAAAATTGGCTCTCCCAGGGGCCGAAAAAGGGCCCTCTGACACCTCGCGGCCCCTCCCAAAAAACCTCAGGGAGGGGAGGGGGAGGATTCCCCTTCCCGAAAGGAAAAGGGGTTGTGGAAGAGAAAAGAGACCCTCGTTAGACCACCTGTCGCCCAAAAGGCTGGTGGAACTTCAATTTGCAGGAAGTGGCCCACTAGAAGACAACCGTCTGAGAACCCTCACTCGTGCACAACGCCGTTCCTGGGACTTCAACGCCACGGATCAACGTAACTGTATGTTCCAAGCACTGCTAAACCTTGCCCGAACACCACTCCTGGGACCTCAACGCAGAGAAACGACGCGACTGCTGCGCCCTGCCGACCTAAGCCGTGCCAGGACCCCTTTCCTGGGACTTTCACCACCTGACCCCATCAAACACGTCAAACCATACGCCTTCCCGCAAAGAGCACGAGAGCCGTCGATCGTCCACCACAGCCAACTCCAAACGAGGAGGCCACGACGCGCCAAATGCGTGTCGACAACTCTTCTGAAACCATAAGACGAGATCGAAAAAGTGCATGGGCGCAGCATGCCGAAAAATGCGGGCTGAGCAGCGTCAGTCACGTCTAAGATGAATCTGCGCGGCGTCAATCACGAGCAAGAACCGCATGTGACATACGATCCGCCATCCACCCGCGAAGCCGCTGCGAACTCTCGAGACGAGTGTGCGCGGCGCGCAGGCGAGAGCCGCACGCTGGCAAAACCTTCCGCCCTCCATCCGTGAAACTGCTGCCAACGTTTGTGACGACTGCGCGCGGCGCCACGGCGAGAGCCACACTCTGAAGGATGAAGCTGTGGCAAACTTTAAGGACAGTGTGCGCGGCGCTACGGCGTGACCCAACCCTGGAAAACAGCCCGCCCTCCCTTCCGAAGCTGTTTCAGATTTCAATCTTCAGGAAAATAAATGAGGAGACAGTCTCAGACGAGACGCCCGGCCTGCCCTACCGACAAATCTGGGGATGCGACAGGCAGGAATGGCTGTTGGAAGAGGGAATGAGGAGCAGGAGGTGGAGGAGGAGGAGGAGGAGGAGGAGGAGGAGGAGGAGGAGGAAGAAGAGGGGGAGGAGGAGGAGGAGGAGGAGGAGGAGGAGGAGGAGGGAGGAGGAGGGAGGAGGGAGGAGGAGGAGGAGGAGGAGGAGGAGGAGGAGGAGGAGGGGAGGAGGGGAGGAGGAGGCGGAGGAGAGGCGGAGGAGGAGGCGGAGGCGGAGGAGGCGGAGGAGAGGGCGGGGGCCGCGGCACGAGGAGAACGAGGAGCAGGAACGGAAGCGGCAGCGGCGCAAACACGATCGGGTGATGGCGCGGGTGCAAGCGGGCAGGGGCGGGAGCAGGCGCCGCGTCTGCCCGCCCCTGTTCCCTTGACCCGTCCCCGCTCACCTACGCGTCTCCGCCGCCTCAGCCGCCCACCGACAGCTCCAGGTGCCTCCCTCCCACCTACTTCCCCCCCTTCCTCCTCCAACTCCTCCTCTTCCCGCGACGACGACGACGACGACGACGACGACGACGACGACGACGACGGCCGCAGCGACGAAGACGACGACGACGACGACGACGACGACGGCGGCGACAACGACGACGACGACGACGACGACGGCGACGACGGCGGCGGCGGCGACGACGACGACGACGGCAACGGCGACGGCGATGGCGATGGCGACGCGGCGATGGCGACGCGGCGACCGCGCGCCACGCGCCCCGAGGGGCCTCGGGGTCGGCTGCAGGTGGTTCCGCAGGTTGGCCGCGGGCTGAGGGGGGGTCAACGGCAACTCGGAGCAGGAAGGAGGCGGAGGAGGACCGACATCGACGCCGACGACGGCGATGGCGGCGGCGGCGCAGAGGAGGAGGGCGAGGGGGGGAGGAGGGAAGGCTCGAAGTTCGAAGATGTGAGGGGCGGGGTGGGCAACGCTGTAGCAAGAGAGGGGGGACGCACGACGGCGGCAGTCCACCCACCGTCCACGTGGAAACAGACCATGGGGGAGCACAACTATACTGATACAGCTACTCCCCAGACCCCTCCCAGGATGCGTTCCGACCTGAATTTCAGGGACAGTCCAGCTGCGACGACGAGGCATCTCCAGGACGAGCAGCGGTATTGCTAGCTCGTCCTCCTCTTAACATGGGGAAACGGGTCCAGAGGGAAATGGCTCCTGGACACTGGGGCCTTCCCCCGAAACGAGCTTCTCATGCCGAATCGTTTTCTGACAGTCCCAGGGCCCGTGAAGGCCCCAAGAGCCCGAAAATGGTGAAAATCTTCGGAGCCCGCCTCTCTCAGGACCCGCTCCCCCGTCCGGCCATCGCTCGGACGTTCCTTCCCCGTGCTTTTCTGTTCCGACCTCGTGCGCTCCCATGTCGCAAGACGGCTCACGACGCCTCTCCATAGCGAGCCGTTAAAGGACGTACGCGCCCAGCTGTGTACATGAACACGGCCCCTCGATTCGCGAGACCGGCCGCGTGATGCGAACATTTGTGCAATGCGTGCTCTCGAAAACAGAGTGGATCCATGCACATGTACGTCCTTCTTTCGCCCCTGACTAGGAAGGCGCCAACTATACACCAACACCGTTCCTGGCCCAGGACCACCCTGGGCCCAGGATCGGTGTATACGCCCTCCTGCCTTGGGCAAGGAGGCATATACACCGATCCTGGGCCCAGGGCGATCCAGGGCCAGGAACGGTGTTGGTGTATAGTTGGCGCCCTCCGACTGACTCCACCGATCCCCGCCGAGAAGAGGTGCGCACGCCCGAGCGATGCCGAGCCACGGCGATCCTCTTGAGGCCACGGATCCCTCGGCGAGCCGCCGCCGCCCCGCCGACCTATAAACCAGCGTGGATTCATGCACATGTACGTCCTTCTTCCGCTCCCGACTCCACTGCCCCTCGCCGAGAAGAGGTGCGCACGCCCGAGCGACGCCGAGCCACGGCGATCCTCTGAGGCCACGGATCCCTCGGCGAGCCGCCGCCGCCCCGCCGCCGCGCCAGCGATGGAGCGCTGGGCCGAGGCGCCGCACGCCTCGGCGGCCCCCCCCACCTCCTCTTCCTCCTCCTTCCTCCTTCCTCCTCCTTCTTCCTCATCACCATCTTCATCCTCCTCCTCCTCCTCCTCCTCCTCCTCCTCCTCCTCCTCCTCCTCCTCCTCCTCCTCCTCCTCCCCCCCTCCTCCCCCGCGGCCCCCGCCGCTCGGGGCGGCGGGCGGCGGCGCGGCGGCAGCCCCTGGCGCGGCGCCCCCCGAGGAACCGGCGGACCGCCCCCGCGCCGAGCCTCGAGGAAGGGGGGCCAGGGCGAGGGGAAGCCGAGGCGAGGGCAAAGAAGTCGGGCGAGGATGCGCAGGGAAGCTCGGAGGTCCGGCGGCTCTGGAGGATGCCCCGGGCGCCGCGGCCTTCTCGGAGCGTTTTCACGCTCTGGGAGCGCTCTGGAACGCTCTGGAACGGATTGGTTTGGGCGTGGCTTCATGGGGGGGTCATCAATGGGGGGGTCAGAAACGGTCCCCTTTCGTGCCCCTTTCGGGCCCCTCCGGAGCCCCAGGGGGCTCGTTTAGGTACCGTTTGGGTACCTTTTCGGACCACTCTCGCCACCCCCCCATGTATGACCCCCCCATTACGCAACGCCCAATTGGTCCTCGTCCTAGCCCCGCCCGGGTCTCGAGGCGGGGACCAGGAGGGAGGGGCCCTCGCATCCTCGCGTCGTGAAGAAAATACGACAAGAGATCTTCGGTCCCCTTGGGGCCCTGTGGGCCTCCTTGGGCCCTCGCCAGGCGCCGCGGCCCTCCAGAAACGTCTCGGGATGGAACGCCGGTCCCAGGAAAGGGGCCACACCTCTAGGGATCTACGCTACGAGAAAAAAAGAAGGACACGACGTCGGAGGTCTGCGGGAGGGAAGTTGGCGCAAACCATCTGGGCCCAGAGTTCTTGGGCAGCAGGTCTGCCGCCCAGCTTCGCCAAAGCGCCTGCCGAGCCTGGCGCATAGAGGCTCACGAGTGTACAAAATTGACCCCGCATTCAACAGCCACGGACGAGGATTGCGGATCCTGCTCAAAACGGGACCCTCACTTGATACTCCCTCATTGCATGGCCGAAAACTAACTTGCACCTGCGCAACCCGATGGATGGCGGCTCCGTCTTTACTGTGAGGTTCTCACTGAGAACTTCCTCGGTCATGGCGCGCCCCTCTCCTCAGTTGCGCGCCCCGGCGAGGCTCGCACCTGCAGGCGCCCGTCATCGCCCCGGAATAAGAGTACAGTCGGGGCCTTGACCTGAGGAACCCAAAACAAGGAACGAGGCCCCTCTGTCCCATAAGTTCAACCTCGGTTTCCCGTGGAACACCTCGAGGAAGCCCGAGGCAGACTGTGAAACCTTCAAGGAACACCGAGCCCCTCCCCAACGAAAAGGGTTCCTTCTTCGGGGCCCCGTGGAAAACCTCGAGAAAGCCCGAGGCAGACTCTGAAACCTTCAAGGAACGCCGAGCCCCTCCCCGACGAAAAGGGTTCCTTCTTCGGGGCCCCGTGGAAAACCTCGAGAAAGCCCGAGGCAGACTGTGAAACCTGCAAGGAACACCGAGCCCCTCCCCGACGAAAAGGGTTCCTTCTTCGGGGCCCCGTGGAAAACCTCGAGGAGGCCCGAGGCAGACTCTGAAACCTTCAAGGAACGCCGAGCCCCTCCCCGACGAAAAGGGTTCCTTCTTCGGGGCCCCGTGGAAAACCTCGAGAAAGCCCGAGGCAGACTGTGAAACCTGCAAGGAACACCGAGCCCCTCCCCGACGAAAAGGGTTCCTTCTTCGGGGCCCCGTGGAAAACCTCGAGGAAGCCCGAGGCAGACTCTGAAACCTTCCAGGAACACCGAGCCCCTCCCCGACGAAAAGGGTTCCTTCTTCAGGGCCCCGACGGGAAGCTCGGGGATGGACAGACCCCCCTTTAGTAAAACGTGGTTTAGGGAAAACGACCTGAGGCCCAAACCTGGCGGGCGCAAGCCTGGAAAATAACGGCCGCGGCGCCCTCTCGAGAACCGAAAACGGACAATTCACTAATCGACGTGTCACTGTTGGGGGTTCTGTCCACCCCCGATAAGCGTACCAGGCTCTCTCGTAACCCCGAGGACCCGCGCACGCGCGACCGGCGGCGGGCGGGCCTGCCCAGAGCCGGTGCCCGCGAGCCTGCCCTGCCTCCGGGACGGCGACGAGCCGGGAGTCGCGGCCTGCGCCGGGCGCCGTCGTCGACCTCCTCCTCCTCCTCCTCCTCCTCCTCCTCCTCCTCCTCCTCCTCCTCCTCCTCCTCCTCTTCGACCCTCGTTACCCTCCTCGTCCTCCTCCGCTGCTGTTTTTGGCTCAAGCCGCTAATCAGCGAGCGACCCCCCGCTTGCTCAGGCCAGATCGGCAAGGCGCCTCTCCTGCATGAGGCAGCAGGCCTCGTTTGCGAAGCTTGAGATCATGGAGACGGGAGGGTGTGGAAATGCATGCCCATTACAGGCAACCCGTACAGTAAGGATGCGCGATAAGGATGCAGGGCCCTTGGAAGCCCATTTCGAAGTTTTCGAGCGGGGCGCGGCCAACGAACGTGGCCAAGGATGCACCGAGGATGCAATGATGCAACGGTACCCTTTGGAAGGTTGCCCGTCCTTACTGTGCGGGTTGACTGTAAGCCGCAGCGCAGCGGACCCCAAGACGGGGAATAAATATGTGGGCCAGGCAATCTGCAGACCGAGCCATCGTCAAGCTGTCCGGCGAGCTCGGCCAGGTGCGGGCTGACGTCGATGCGGTCCTCAGCGGCCTCGCCATCATCTTCAGCTGCGAGGCGATGGCCGACCGCATCGTGGCGTTGGCGCCCGCCCTGGGGGAGCAGCTTGCGGGGCGCGTGCCGTCGGCGGCGCGGGCGGCGGAATGTGGCCCTCCGCTCCGGCGCCCACGGGTGCAGGCTGCGACGGCGCCGAGCGAGCACTGGCGGCGGCTGCAGAAGCACGGGGCCAGGCTGGAGGCCCGCGCTGAGTCGGCGAGCGTACTCCTGGGAGGGCTTCGCGTGCCGTGCGACGCCGCGGTCCAGGGCGAGGGCCTGCAGGCGCGCGGCCGTCCAGCGCCAAGGGCTTCGCCAGAAGGCGATTCCTTTCTGGCCCGTCCGCGCGCCTGGCGTGTGGTTCGACCCCGAGGAGCAGGCTTGCAGTCCAGCCACACTTGGGGGAGCTGTGGTCCTTACCCCCTCTGGGGGACCCATCGATTTCGACACCCCTCTCGAGAGATCGTCGATGCGATGGGCCTCGCCAGAGGGGGTAAGAACCACAGCTCCCCCAGTTATGGCTGGTCGGGTCTGCGTCCTGCTTGCGGCGCTCGGCTGCGCCCCAGA